CAATTCTCACACTCTCCGTCCCACTTTACCTGTCAGGGAACTGGGTGTCCATTATTTACTGCTGTGCAACAATTCACCCTCAAAACAGCATCATTCCTAATTTCCTGGGGTTCTGTGGGTCTGCAAGCTGCGGGCACCGTAGCTGGCCGGTTCTAGCTCACGGTCTCCCACGAAGTCATTCGCTGGGGTTGCATTCTCCTCCCAAGGCTCCGCTGGAGGCAGGTTCGCCCCTTCTCTTCCTTCCTCCTCCTCCTCCTTCCCCCTCCTTTCTTTTTAAAAACAGTGCTAAGAACACTTCATATGAGATGCCCCCTCTTAGTGAAGATTTAAATGCACAGTGTGGTACAGGTGTCCCTCTGTCTCTTGGAGGATTGGTCCCAGGATCCCCTGCAGATACCAAAATCTGTGGATAGTCAAGGCCCTGGTTTAAAATGGCCTGGCATTTGCACAGGACCTACCCAGTCCTCTTCCAGGCTTTAAAGCATGGGGAGATGATTTGTAACACCTGATAGATACAATGTAGGTGCTAGGTGCACAGTTGTTACACTGTGTGGTGTAGGAACCAGGACAAGAAAAGCATATGTGTCCTAAGTACAGGTGAAATTTTTAAAAAGTCATTTTTGAACACGAGGGGTTGAATCTGCAGATGCAAAACCCGTAGATGCTGGGACTGGCTGCCTTGTGCCCTATAGGCCCAGCGCTGCAGAGCGGATCTCCGGAAGGTAGCCGTCTTGCATAACCGTGTCTTTCCATTCATTGACCAGCGCCTCCTTGTGGGGCAGATTTGCTTCTCACTCCCGAGGTGCTTGGTAGGCCTCCCTCCCCAGAGAGCTGCTGGCTGGAGACGCTCTTGGCCATTGAGCTTTCCAACAAGCATCTCAAGTGTCCTCGCGGCCCGGCAGCTGGCTTCCCCATGCTCCGAGATGGACATCACAGTCTTGGTATGACCCGATCTCAGTAGTGACTTCCTAGCACTCTGACTTCTTGGTTAGAAGTGAGTCACTAGGTCTACCTCAGGGTCAAGGAGAGGGGATTGTGTAAGGATGTGACTCTGGGCAAGTGGGAATACGGGGGCATTTGGGGGGCTGCCTCCCCACTGGGGTACAGAGTAGTCCGTTTGCTTGCCCAGGCTTACAGAGCTAGCCACCCAGGGAGCAAGGGTGTGTGGGCCCAAGACATATCAGCGTGGTATGTTCATCATTTTGAGCTGAGAACAAACTGCGGCGATTGCAGGACAGGCTAGCTGACCTTCCCGGCTGCATGTGACAGGTCATGAGGACTTGGGGGAGGGCACCCCACACACCAGGGAGAGAAGGGGTCCTTATCATTGGCGGCTGAGGCTGGCGCCCCAACGGAGCTCAGCAAACTCGCTAGAGGAAGCCTTGTCTTCCACTGGCTCTACCGCCTACCTCCTAGTCACCTTCTTACCAAGCACAGCTCCTAGCATAGAAATCCCTGAGTCCTGCCGTTGCTTCGCAAGTTTGTTCTTTGTCTAAAATGGACAGGGCCTCTGGTTTGGGCCACGTCTTTGGATATTCGCTCTCTTGTGGGGTCCTAATGCACATGCAAAATTAATAAAATGCATCTACTTTGCTCCTGTTAATCTTCCCAGTGTTCATTTGGCTCCTGGACCCCAATGAAGACCCACCTAAGATCTAAGAGAGTTGGAGGTGAGTATTTGCCCTTCCACACTAAGAGCTCACAGAGCTCAGCTCTGCTCCCTGTGCTTAGCCCTACCCTGCATCTGCTCTGCCTACATCTCCCTGATGTGCTTTTGTCCATTTTGGGTACTGGGGGTTGAACCACTGAGCCACTGCCACAGCCATTTTGATTTCCTTTTTTTTTTTTTTTTTTGAGATAGGGTCTCACTAAATTGCTGAGGCTGGCCTCAAGCTTTTGATCCTCCCTCCTCAGCCTCCCAGTTCTCTGGGATGACAGACACCCCTGTGCCCAGTACCCGTGCACCTTTTTAACACACTCAATGGTAGAGGATATTTCTGGAAAAATAATAGATATAATTTAAGGCTCTCTCTCGCAGTGCAAGGTAGGCTGACTGCAAATTCAGGTGATTTCATGCTGTGGAGCATGTCTGTCTTTGAATGCATTTACCAAATACCAACATTACCTTTCCGGTCAATTTCATTTTGCCAGAAAACCCCAAAGGCATGGTAAAATGAAAGGATTTTTTTTTTCCTGCTAAAATAGAAAATGGAACAAAAGATGTTAGCGCTGACAAGGAAAGCAGATCCAACCTTGGATCTGTGGATCCAACCTTCCTGGACAGTCAGCTGGTGGACGGAGAACAGGATGAAGGACAAGAATGTGAGGAGCCGCAACCCGAGAGCCTGCTGCGTGGCCGTTGGAACTCTTTCTCCCTGGACAGACGGGCTTCTTCCTAATTGCCTGTTTTTGTTTCACTAATGACTGTGGATTAAGCGGCGTGGCTGGAACTTTATGAGCCATTCTGCACCGAGGGGTGGGTCAAGAGCCTCTTAGTTGGCACAGGCCTGGGACTGAGCATCTGATCCTCTTAAGGGTAGAATAAAAGGACAATTTCCATAAGGACGGGGCTTCTGAAGAGCGGGTTTTGCGTGAAAGGCACCTGAGTGCCACAGCGTCTTCTATTTTTGTGGTGGCTCTCCTGCCATCCCTCTGTCACATTTCTCTGCGACACCAAATCATTTCCATAGCAAACTGTCACGACCCCGCCAGCCTTCAAAGGGGCCGCTGAGTGGGCATCCAATGCATTTCTTTAAAAAAAAACGCACACATTTTCTTTTAGTCAAATGTATCATTAAACACTTCTAGGCAACCAGGGAGCTGGGGAGAGAATGGCTGGGCTGAAGCTCCAGGCTGCCTGGAAATGGACGGGAGGGCAGGGCCGGGAGGGAGGGAGAGGGGCAGAGAGAGAAGGAAGGGAGAACTGGAAAGAAAAAGAGAGGAAGGGAGAAGGAGAAGAAAAGAGAAACAACAACAACAAAAAGAAACAAAGTTTCAATAGCAAAACCTTCCCAGGGCAGCCGACCAGGTGCAATGCCAAGTTCACGGCAGAGTGCGGCCATCCCTCAGGCCCCTTGCATCTGCAGATCCAACCTTCCTGGACAGACAGCTCCCGGAGCCATCCCAGAGAGCTTGACATCTGTCTTTGTCCATTTTCAGTTTCTATAACAAAATACCTGAGACCAGATCATTTGTGAACAACAGAATGTTTTTGGCCCACGGTCCGGGGCCTGACATGGCCGAGAGCTTGGCGCGGCCTGTCCTCAGCCTCTGGTGAGGACCTTGTTGCCGAGGGAGGTGTGCAACATGGTGGGGCATCACCTGGTGAGGCAAAGCAGAAGTGCTAGCCCACCTCTCTTCTCCCCTCATGGGGGCTCCGCCAGCCTCTAGGTCCTACCTCCAAATGCCCTCAGCGCGTGTGTGACATCCACAGCCCCCCCCCCCGCCCCAGATGGGATGCAGCCCCTAGGTTTGTCGAGTAATGCTTTCTGGGGAAGGTCTGGTGGCAGGGGACTGGACGGGTGTTCCGTGGTGACAGGCTCCAAAGTGCTTCACCAGAAGGTGCGGTGGAAACGGGTGGGGCAGGTGCACCCCATTTCACATGGTGCCTCCGTGTGTCACCAGGAAATACGGGTGGCCACCGTGATGAGCACTCCCCGCTCCCCGGGGCTTTGATGTACAGCAGTCACCACAGGGACAGGCCTTTACAAATCAGGGCAGGAGCCGCACTGTCACTGGTCTGCTCCGTTTCTTGCTGTTGGATGACCTGCATCTAGGGAGCAGCTGCCCTGGCACGTGTGCAAGAAAGCAGTGCCTACAGGTGACACTGGGGGGCCCTGTGTGCCATACTCATCAGACAGAGAGAGCCAGTGTCCTTCAGGAGGTCCGGACACATACTACCTCGAAGGACGCTGGCCCACTCTTTTTTTAAAAAATTAGTTGTGGATGGACCTTGGTTTATTTGTTTGCTTGTTTATTTATTTATTGACTTTTGGTGCTGAGGCTCGGACCCAGGGCCTCACGTGGACTAGGCGAGGGCTCTGCCCCTGAGCCCCAGCGCAGCCCTTGGCCCATTGGTCTCTGAACTTGACTCAGTTCCAGGGAGTGGAAAGGGGCATTTTGGGGACAGTGTTTTACTGTCCTCTTTTCCTTTAAGGATGACAGGGTATGACTTTGGGGATTAAGTTCCCAACACATGAACTTTTGGGGGACACACTCAAACCACGGCAAGGTCCGACTCCCCTGCCCAGAGAGGGGACCCCGGAGAGTCACTCCCTTTCAGTGTCCAGCGTGTGAGCCCCTGGAGTTGCCCTGGCACTGGGGACAGGGGTCTCCTGGGGTCTGCTGGAGTGAGGTGGGTGGTTTGGCCTGGTGACTGGTCAGTCCTTGCTCAATTAGAATCTCATCAGAGGCTCGGGGTGGGCTCCCTTGCTCCACTCGGAGGAGGGGTCCTGAGTCCTGGGACCCCTGAGCTCAGATCTGTCCAGGGAGCGCTCATGAAAAGAAGGGGCTGACCACAGGGGTCTAGGAGTGAGCAGCTCAGGGTCCCCAGGGCAGGGCTGTGGGTGGGGAGTGTCACGTGACTGTCTTACCTGGGGTCAGCACGATCCAGGGAAGACAAACTGAGTGTCTTAGCTTTCATTCTGGGACCAAAAGGCCCGACAAGAACGACTCGCAGGGGCGGGGGGGGGACAGTTCTGCTGGACCCCAGTTTCAGAGGGTCGCTCTGTGAATGACTCACTGCTCTGGGCCCGAGGTGAGGCAGACCGACGTGGAGGAAGACCCTGGTGGGGGACAGCTGCTCAGCTCATGACCGTCAGGAGGCAGAGAGAACCGGCAGAGTGCTGGGGACAGATACGAACCCCCAACACACACCCCCATGAAGGATTCCTCCAGCCATGCCCCCCCGACTGCAGTCACCACCCAGCGAGCCCACCCACATTATTGACTGGTCAACTGGGTTCCTCCACTGACTAGGCTACAGTTCCAATGGAACCATGTCACTCCGAACAGTCCTTCATTGGCACAGGATGTTGGGGGGACACCTCACATCCAAATGGAACATTCACTCCCGCCCTCAAAGCTCATATCCATGTCACAAGGCAAAATGCTTTCATCCAGTGTGTCACCAGGAATCCTCACTGTCCTAACAGCCCCAGCCTTGCCCAGAGTCCAAGTTCAAAGTCTCCCTAGATACTCCAGGCAAACTCTCGTCTGTGAGTCTAGAAATCAAAAGCAGGTTATGTGTGCCATACCCAGTGGCACCGAGCAGGTGTTCTCGTTCTAAGAGAGGAATTGGGGCAGAGGAAGAAGGGTTGGGACCAAATCAAGACCAAAGCCCAGCTGGGAAAACACTGGGTCGCGGAACTCCAAGTCTGACATCCGCGGCGTTCGGTGGGAATCACGGAAGGCAGCTCTGCAGGCCACCCTGTGGCGGCACTCTGTCCCCAAGGACTCTCCCAGAGAGGTTTTGTTTGTACATCCCTGAGTTTGCCGTGGGTGTGATCTGGCGGATTCTTGACATTCCCCCAGGGTGTCTTCGAATGGTCTCTGGGCAGAGTACTTGGTTTCTCTTTAATGGTGATAATCTCTTCAACACCACTTTCTTGGCCCCCATTTTACGTGTGCTTCTCTGGCCAAGCTGCAAGGTTTCTGAATCTTTCCTGTCTGCCTTCTGCTCCCAGTTATCCCAGTGAATCTGTCTGAAAGCTGCCATGCCCCATCCCACTGCCTCAATTCTGTGCTGCCTTGAAACTTCTTCCACCAGATTAGTTAGTCCATCACCTTTAAATCCAGCTTCGCAGAATCTCAGGACCAGGACACAATGTAGACAGGTTCTTTGCCAAAGTGCGACATGAATGGCCATCGGTGCAATTCCCAACAGAGTCCTCATGAGCGCGGTCTTTACTGTCCACATTCCTCTCATCACCGCTTTTCCTGTCAGAATTGCCCAGTAAGCTCTGCTTGCAATATTTTAATATTTTGAATTAAAAAGGATTGATATCTTATTAAAAGCAGATTTAATATCTGCTTACGATATTTAATTTTTTAAAGCTTTTCCAAACTCCTCCTACAAACCAGTTCCCAAAGCTTCTGAAGCGCGTGGTCAGCTTAGTTACAGAACAACCCAGCTTCCTAGCACCACTTTCTGTGTGAGCCCGCTTCCCGTTGCTAAGAACAAAATGCCTGACGAAACTCAGGAGAGGGAAGGCTTGTTCTGGACACACACTTTCAGAGGGTCAGCCCATGACTGATGTGCTCTGGGCCCGAGGTGAGGCGGACCGTCCTGGCGGAAGGCCTGGTGGGAGACAGCCCTCAGCTCATGACCGTCAGGAGGCAGAGAGAACCGGCCAGTGTCAGGGACAAAATATGAACTCCTGAGTTACACCCCAGTGACGTTTCTCCTCCAGCCACGCCTCTCCTGTCAACAGGCGCCACCCGTTAGTCCTTCTACAATATTAGTCCGTCAAGTGGGTGAACCCACTCCTTGGCTTGCAGCTCTCCTGACCGAACCATTTCACCTGCGAACATTCCTTCATCAACTTGGGAGGGCTTTTTTGTTAATTTTTTTTAGTTGTGGGTGGACACAACACCTTTATCTAACTTTTCTGGGGTGCTGAGGATCGAACCCAGGGCCTTCCACATGCGAGGTGAGCGCTCTGCCACTGGGCCACAGCCCCAGCCCAACACGGGAGTTTTTGGGGGACGCCTGACACCCAAACCTAGCACCAAGGGGCTGTGGTGGTGGGCACTGCTGCCTTGGTCACATGTGCAGGACCCTTGGGAACCAGAGGAGAGGAACTGAGAGGACACAAGGTTACTCAGAGGGCCTCTCTTAGGATGGACAGCGGTGGGGTGGAAGGAGTCACGAGTGGACAGAGAGGGAGAGGGAAGATGGCGGCTGGGATGGCTTCTCTCCGGGTCCTGAGCTGGGGTGGGGGCAAGACATCATACCCTGGGCTGATCCTAGGTGTCCTGGGAAGGGAGTGGCAGCCTGGGTGAGCGGTGCAATTCAGAGGCCACTGGCCTGAAGGGACAGGGAGCAGAGGTCTGCCCAACACCATTCCCAGAAGCCAGGAGCCATCCTTCACGCCTAAAAATACCTGGGAAACGTGGCCGTGTCCCCTCGGCCTTGCTAAGCCTAACAGGTATTCTCTCCGACAGGTGTTTCCTGAGTGAGTTTTCTCTTCTGTAGTGTGTGTGCATGAGTGTGTGTGTGTGTGTGTGTGAGTGTGATATGTGTGTTATCCTGTGTCTGAGTGCAGGTGTGTGTGTGTGTGTGTGTCGCAGTTTCTGTGTGCAGCAGTGTGTCTGTAAGCGTGTGTGCCTGTCTGTGGATGTGTCCGTGTGCAGCATGTGTGGGTGTACACGTGGCTGCGTGTCTGTGTACCTGTGTGAGTGTGTCTGCCTCTACCGGGGTGTGTGTGCTGTGTGAGAGAGCATGCACTAGTGTATGTGAGGCGTGCACAGTGTGTGTGACAGTCGTGTGGGTCGGCACGCCCTGGGACAGCCTGCGGGACCCTCAGCCCTCGGCGTGCCTGGTCTCTTGGCCCCGGGTGCCCTCGCCCGCTGTCCCCTTGACAGACCCTCCTGGCACACTGACCTTTATGCCTCTGGAGTCCCACACGGTGCTGGCATCAGGGCTGTGGCCCGCCGGTCCCCAGCCCACGCAGAAGCGCGAGCACGCGGAAGGGTGAGTGAGAGGACAAGGTCCCAGGAGCAGTTCCCTCCAGGGGAGGGGGCGGGGAGCACCGCCAGTGATGTCACAAGGGATGGCCTGGATGGAAGGTTCCGGAAGGTTGAATGGGGTAGAAGCCGGTTGAGGAGGGAGGGAAACTGCCCCCTTCCTGCCTCCCTCCACCACCGTCATCCAGTGGGACCGAGGGGGCCGGTAGGGACAGCACATGCCTGGGCTCCCAGGAGGGGGCACCTGCTCACTGTCTTGGAGAAGGAAACGCTGTGTGGTGCCATGTCAGCTCCCGACACCTGGCCCTGATGGCCAGAGCCACACCTGGTGAAGAGCAGCACTCGGTAGGGGCCTTGGGACAGCTCACGACTTGGTGTGTGGACACTTCCGGGACAGGGCTGTGCGGGAGAGCGTGCGGGTCTGGTTCTATGGCCCTGGGTCGTGCGTTACCCAGGGTCCAGCCCTTGCTGGCTTCAGGGGCTTCCTCCTGCCCAGAGGGCACAGCTGCTCTCTGTAGCTGCTGCTGCTCTGGACGTAGGAAAGACTCTGATGGCACCTGCTGAGTCTCACCCAGGGTGTCCCCAGGGTCGGCATGGAGCTGGTGACATGTGGGCTGGGCCTTTCCTGGTGGGAGGAAGGTGTCCTGGTCACTGTGGGGGTTTTGCAGCATCCGGCTCCATCCAGTGGACACCAGTAGCAACCAAAGCTGGCCACTCTCTGCCAAGTGTATCCCCAGGGGGCAGAGTTGTCCCCAGTGAGAATTTCAGCTCCATTAAGTCCACATACTCAGGTGTTCCTCATCCTGCTGACCTTGATTGAGCCTGTTTGTGACAGGCACGGGGTTAGGTGTTAGGAGACAATAATCGACAAGACGGCAGCGGGCACGCGCACACACTCACACTCACTCACACACGCACACACACACATTCACAGAACTACACAGTGGTGACTGAGCCACAGAGAAAAAGCAAGGCGCAGGGTCTGGTTCACCCCAGGACAGCAAGAGGCGCTCCCCAGTCCCTGGAGTCACCTGCGGCGCTGTTTCCTGTCCGTGGGTCCCACCTGTGTGGCCGGTGCGCCTGGTTCTCACTGAGCTGGTGGCCTTGTTTTCCCACCCTCTGTGTGGCGCCCTGGCTGTGGGGAGACCCAGCTGTGGCCCGGGCACGTTCCTAGCGTCTGCACACAGCCGAGGGGTCTGCACCTGGCGGGGGTCCAGGCCCACCCACCAGCCCCTCTGGTCGCACCCGTGCGTCTTGCTCTTCAGCCTGAGCAGGGTAGGCGTGCTTGGCCGGGAGCGGGGAGCGGGGAGCCTGGTGGTGCATCGCTCCTCGGCCTTCCTGGTTACCTGGGACTGACGTGTGGCTTCGTGGGGACGTGAGACTTTATTCCCAAATGGAAACAGACACTTGCTGATGGTCCCTCTCTACAGGCCCAGCTTGTCACGGTGCACTATCACATTCTAATTATTTAAAATCTTGACTCCATCCGGGGAGTGTGCAATTTGGGCACAGAATACATTTTCCACACCTAACCGGCAGCTGCCCTTCCACGACACACAGCCTTGGATTCAGCCAACTGTGGGTAGAAAATACTCAGAACGAAAACCCTGTATCGAACACACACAGGCTCTTTCCCTATGCAATACAGTGTAACAAGGACAGGCCAGTACTGACCTTGCATTAGGTACATGAGTCTTCCGACTGGATCCGAGGCCTGCGGGAGGATCGTGCAGGCTCTAGACAAATGCTACCCTGTTTTATACAAGGGACTGGACGGCTGTAGACTGGGGTGTCAGCAGAGGGTCCCGGAACCAGTCGCTGTTACACCCCTGTAATTCCTTCTTCCTTTCTTTTTCCTTCCTTCTCTGTCTCCCCCAACCCCTTTCTCTCTCTTTCGAGTGCCGGGTTCTGAGTTTTGACAAACGCAGAGTCTGCTTCAGCCAACATGAGATGCAGTGCACCTCCATCACCCCAGGTTCCCTCTGGCTCCCCCTCATCCTGAGCCTCTCTTCCCTCTCCCAGCCCATGGCAACCGCTGATCTGCTGCCTGGCGCTGTATTTCCCCCCCCCCCCCAAGAAAGCTGCACACAGGGCAGGTCGCACTTTGTAAGTCAGGCTGAGCTTGGACATGCATTTGGGTGGTCTTTCACGTCCGGCAGCCTGTAGGCAGCAGCGGCCGGGAGACTCGGCTGCACTGCTCTGTGAATGCAGAGCTTGTCCTGTTGGTGACACTGTGGCTGGGCAGAGGCACCACAGCTGGCTGGTCTTTGAGGATGTATCCAGTGGGGGTGACCAAGGATCCTGTCCTGGACAGATGAGCTAACACCTCGTGACGTTAAGTCTGCTTGCTTACAAACGTCTTCCAAAGAGACGCATGGATTTTTACCACAATGTATGAGAGTTTTCCCACACCCTCACTAGGATAAGGTACTTTCAACGTTTTTGAACTTGATCTGAGAGGTGAAACTTACTTTCTACTCTTCTCTATTGCTTTTCTCTCGTAACTGAGATTTGAGCATGTTTTCCTGTCTTTAAAAGTCATTTTCAATTTTGTTTTAGAATTATCTCACCCTGTCCCTTGCCCACTTTCTCAATGGGTCTTGGACTCTTTTCCATTGTTTCACCAGAGTTCTTTACATTTGAAGGAAATAAACCTTTATCTATTGGAAATCTTGCCTGTATTTTTTCCCTGGTTTGTTGTTGACCTTTAGATCATGTTGACGATATTTGCTGCCTTGTGGAAAAATTTAAAACTTTAATATGCCAAGAATGACCCTGTTCCTCTCTTTATGCTATTGAGGTTCTCATGTTACACAGTAAGGCCTCCATCTCCACATCCTCAAACCCAGCCAATCTTAAAATGGAAATATATATATTTTTTAAATGGCATGTGTCCTGGACACTTATATATTTTTCTTGTCATTATAACCTAAACAATGCAGTGCAGCGACTATTTGCATAGCATTTGCATGGTCCTGGTATTATAAATCATGGCAAGATGATTTAAAGTCTCCAGCAGGCTGGGTGCAGTTTCTGTGTAAATGCTGAACTTTTGCGTGTCACTTTGCAGGAGGAACCTGAGGTACATTTGATGCCTGCAGGGGGTCCTGGGACTAATCCCCAACACACACCAAGGGGCGACTGTCTGTAAGGCAAGGTGGCTAGAGCAGAGTTCCTTGAAAACTGTGAGAGTTTCTTTCCCGTGAGAGGTTCCGTGGTTCCACGTGGACCTTGTGTTCCAACCCTGCAGAGTCTCTTCTACCCTCGGAGCTTTATAGATCCTCTTCTCTGGCAGCCAGCTCCTCTCCTCCCGGGCGCAGGGCAGGCATGACTAATCCATCCCAGGATTCTGGGCAGACATTACCTGTGGCTGGGAGTGGCCCTTTGCCATGTCGCTAAGTGCCCCTCTCTTGCCTCGTAGTGCTGCAAGGAATGGTTCCTGCGAACCTGGAAGGGCTGAACCCCAGTGTCTCCAGGAAAGGCCACCCAGGGCCTTACGACAGACATGAGTGAAACGCAAGGTATGAGAAGTGAGGGGCACGTTGATGGCACAAGGGACCAGCCGCCCTCAGCCCGTCACCGCTCCCAGGGAACATGGAGGAAGTGGTCGGCGGCGTGGAGCCCGCCCCAGGTCACAGGCCCAGTTCACAAGTCCAGCCCAAGTCCCTCAGGCACTGACCGCAGCTCCTCCCCCTCAGGACGGTGGGCCCGTGTAGGGCCAGTGCCCGGGAGCCACCCAGAGTCCCGATGATGTGGCATCGTGAGGTGATGACCGCGAGCGAACCCCGGGCCTGGAGCCATCATGCAGACCTGCGCCCACCCGCACAGCTCTGTGTGCCTTGCAGGGCACATAAAACGGTGGCCCCACGATGACTCGCGGTCCCTCCTTCTCCATCAGCGATGAGCTTAGAAACCATGTGCCCGCCTCCCAGGCTGTCAGAACCAGGCCACCCGGACTGGGCGTCTGAGCCCCCACAGCGGATGGCCCCGGTTCTGGAGGCCGCCGTTCAAAGCCACGCGGTAGGCAGGGCCTTCAGAGGCTCCGAGGGAGGATCAGTGTCGAGGTCTCCCGGCTCCTGTGGCTGAGGCCGTCCTTGGGGTTCTCTGGCTGGTGGGCACACTGCTCCAGCCCCGGGTCTCAGTCCGTCCAGTGAGACTAGGAAGATCATCACAGAAAGAGCTTGGTTCATGTTCTGGAGGCCCGGAAGCCCAAGATGGAGCGCGGTCACTGGCCAGGGCCTTGTGCTGCCTTGTGACAGGGCCCGTGGCGTCCGTGGGGGGCACGAGAGAGCAGCAACTGGGCGCAGGGAAAAGAGGCAGAACCCGGGCAGGGCCTTGCTCCGCCACCGCCCACTCACGGGGGCGCTAAAACAGTCCTGCGAGGGCGGGGTTCGCTCACTGCTGCTTGAACTAACCTGGTCCCCCGAGAACGGCATCGACCCCTCTCACCGGCCCCCCCAACACGGCCGCCGTGACCGCTCAGTTCAACACGCGCTTGGAGGGGACCGTGGCACCTGCCTCTGGGTGCGCGTGGCCCTGTCCTCTGTGTCCTTTCCCCTTTGTGGGAGGACAGCCGTCACTGGAGTTGGCGGTCACCCTACATCCATGATGTTTTCACCTCAAGACCTTTGACCAAGTCCACCTGCAAAACCCCTGCTTCCAAGTTGGGCAACGGACATCCCCCTCGCTGCATGGCTTTGCCAAATACGAGCTCATGTCTTGCCCCGCCTCGTGTCTGCTGTTAGGACAGGGGCTTCTATTTTTTTTTTTTTTTTTTGGTACCAGGGATTGAACTCAGGGACACTCGACCACTGAGCCCCATCCCCAGCCCAATTTTGTTTTATTTATTTAGAGACAGGGTCTCACTGAGTTGCTTAGCAGCCTCGCCATTGCTGAGGCTGGCTTTGAACCCGCCATCCTCCTACCTCAGCCTCCCAAGCCACAGGGATTACAGGCATGTGCCACTGCGCCCAGCAGGGGGCTTCTCCTTGACATAAGCTTTCTCCAACTTTGTAGCAGAATAGAGCAGAAAGAGCCCAACAGTGACATAATCCATCACTGGCCGAAGCACATGGAGTCACTTGGTGCTAATTTACCTTAAAAAAAAAAAAATCCATGTAAATACAGGTTGAGCGTCCCTAACCTGAAAATCCCAAACCCAAATGCTCCAAAACCCAAACCTCATGAGCACCAACACCACACCCAGGAGGAAGATCCCACGCCCGACCCCACGCCCGGGTGGCCGCAGCCGCACCACAGGCCCAATGCAAAAGGACCTTCAGTCTGTGTGCGTGCACGTGACTCCTAAGGGAATTCTGTCTGGATCTGGGTCCCATCAAGACACCTCGTTAGGTACAGGCAGATGTCCCAAAACCCGAAAACAACCCAAACGCTCCTGTGACGTGGACTCCAGTTAATGGTTCAGAGGCACAGTCATTTAAGGCTGAGGTGGGTGGGTAGCTTCAGCTCAATTTGAAATGCAGCCGGATATGGAGGATGGGCGCGTCCTGGGGGTGTGTGATTGGCCAGCCCTGCAAAATGCCAGCTGCGGTGCCACGTAGGTGGTGGGCAAAGCAGGCGTTTGCCATCGTTTTTTCCACTTTCTTACATGCTTGAATTTTTTCATAATAAATTATTGAAAGGGGCCATCAAAAATTAACAATTGAGCCTTGCACAGTGATCCACGCCCGTTATCCCAGCGGCTCAGGAGGCTGAGGCAGGAGGATCGTGAAATTCAAAGCCAGCCTCAGCAACTTATCGAGGAGGCCCTAAGCAAGTCAGCCAGACCCTGTCTCTCAATAAAATATTGAAATGGGCTGGGGTTGTGGTTCAGGGGTTGAGTGCCCCTGGGTTCAATCCCTGGTAGCCCAAGATAAATAAATAAATAAAGACTCATAAAGGAGAGCGGGAGCTTCACTAGAGCAGCTCTGCCCACTCATTTTTACCCCAGGAGGGGGGTTAATTAAGTGCTCGGCACCTTGTCTCCCCCTCCCGGGGTGAAGTCCCCGCCCCCAACCCTGGGCTGTTCACAGGTCCCACCAGGCTGTGGACCACCTGTCGGGATGGACAAGTCCTCCTCAGGCTCTCGAAACACGGGCCAGGCCACGAGACCCCGATGACTATCCCTGAGCTGTTTCAAGAGTCCGTCCAACGATTCGGCTCTTACCCGGCTCTCGCGTGGAAGGATGGCGAGAAATGGGAAACTCTGAATTTCTACCAGTACTACCAGGCTTGCCGGAAGGCCGCCAGAGCCTTGATCAAGGTGAGCGGGTTGGGACCACACGTTCGCGGGGTCCACGCAGGGGGATCGGGTACCAAACACCGAAGCTCTGAAACGTGCAAGAGTCAATTGATGAAAAGGCTCCCCGCAGCCCTTGACCCTCAGCCACCCGGGTCCCCTGTGGAGGAAGCCACCATTGCCAGTTTTTTTGCATGTCCTTTTGGGGAACAAATCGTATGTCTATATCACACAAGTTTCATGTTTGCACAGTTTTACACCCAAGGTTCTGAATCTGGCTTTTGCTCCTTATTCTGGCATCTCAGTGTAGGAGTCAGTGACTGCTACATAACAAGCTATCCTACAGTGACTTAAAATGACAGATGTTTGTTTCCTCCCATGAATCCAGGGCCAGCTTTGCTGGGTGGCTCTGGCTCAGGGCGCCTCCTGAGGCTGCGGACAAGCTGTCCCAAGTTACTTACGCGGTACCCAGAACAAAAGGGCGCCTCCCTCAAAGCCAGCTTCATCAGCTTTCCTGGGTCGTTATCAGCCACATCTGCAATAGGCCTGCTCCTCTAAGTGTGCCATTCATCACCATAGGATGTCACTCTCTTGAGTGCTTTTGTTATTAGACATAAAAATAATTTCACATCCATTCAGACGTCCACCCACATACAGGTACATATATACATATGAGTGTGTGGTTTGGGGGTTTTTGTCCTGGGGATTGACCTTGGGGGAGGGCTCTGTTGCTGAGACAGGCTGGTCTTGAACTTGCCATCCTCCTGCCTCAGCCTTGCGTCTCTGGGATCACAGGTGTGCACCACCACGCCCAGGGTAGGGTTTTAAAGAAACCATAAAATCACACGCGTTGGTGAGGACGCCGAGACGCTGGGAACCTTGCACAGTTGTTGGAATGCAAAACGGTGGGGCCCGTCTGAAAACGAGAACGGCGCTCCTTAGGCATTAGACCTGGGACCCCCATGTGTCCAGCAGCTCCGTTCCCCGGGGGATATCCAAGTTGAAAGCCAGGGCACAGGGAGGTATTTGTGTGGCCCAGCGCTCGCCACCGCCATTCGCAGTAGCCAAGCAGCAGGGGCTCCAAAATGGGGGACATCATCCAGACAGGACGTGGGAGTGCCGCGGCATGGGTGACCCAAGGCACCCTGAGCAGCGAGCCATCAGTCACAGAAGGACAAATGCCGCCCGGTCCCACTCCCGGGACCCCCTCCCCACACACCTGCGTCTTCAGAAGCAGCACGGTGGGAGCGGGGGCTGGGACTGGGCGGGCGCCAGTGTCAGAAGGGACAGAGCTGCCAGATGGGGAGAGGAGGAAGCTCTGGGGATGGACGCCCTGGACGGCAGCGCCCTGGACGGCACACTGCACGGTGAAGATGACTCATATTGTGTCACAAAAAACAAAAAGATAGACAAATGGAGTGTCACACAGGGGGGGCAAACCCACCTCCCAGAGTCACGTTTCCGTGGTGGCACTGACTACCTTGGAGCCCACTTCTCACATCCTGGAGATCACGGCCCACGAGCTCTCTGACTTCCTTCCCTTCCCTTCCAGCTGGGCCTGCAGCGGTTCCACGGGGTCGGCATCCTGGGATTCAACTCGGTCGAGTGGTTCATCGCAGCTCTCGGTGCCGTCTTGGCAGGGTAAGGCGCCGCCCTGGTCCACTGGGAGTGTCGGGGAGCCACCGCCCTGGGCCTGGCAGCCATGGCCGGCCCCAGGTTAGCGGGCAGGAGTCACTCTCGTCTCGGGTCAGGTGATGGTGTTCCTTGAGCCGGTACATTTTTTCCTTCGGCGAGAGAACTCTGTTCAAGGCAGTGATCACAGATGACATCTGGAGACTTCTGACCCCGGGCCAAGCACGGGGCTCTCACAGAGCAATGTGAAGTGGGCCCTGCCACCCCGTAGGCACAGAGGAGAGAGCCAAGGCGGAAGGGCCAGCCCCAGACCCAGGCTCTTGGTCAGCTGCACCCAGAAAACCCCTCGCTGTTTCCCTCCGGCTGCATAAGGCCTCGTTTATTCACTTTCATTTAATTTGTATTATGATGAAATGTGAATAACGTGGAATTTATATTGTCCTGTCTCCAGAGGGAACCTCTCTGCCAATGGTGGAGTTATGCGGGGCCAGGACGCCCTGGAGATAAGTTGCACATGGATGGGGACTGTCTAATCCACCTTTGGGGCGTAATTCACCAGATGATGCAGGAGGTATTTCATAAATGGTGACCGTCTGTATGGTCAAGTGAAAGCCCATGTTAAGCCCTGTGTGTAAGGGGTAAACCTACAAATAATCCTAAAGGAAAAAGACCAGCCATCTTTGTCTACACCGGGGTGTCTCCCTCCTGGCACTGATGACCCCTGAGGCTGAACCGTTCTCAGTGGTGGAACATCCCAGCCATCCCTGGTCTCCACCCTGGAAATGTCGGCAGTACCCTCAAGTTGTGACAACCATAAATGTCCCCAGGATTTCCAAGGGTACCCCCCGTGGGACAGAATCACCCGTTTAGACTCCCCACGTGAGGGATGCCATGGATCCCGAGAGACTCTGCATCCCGTGATCATTTGCCCTGCCGAGGTCCTCCGATGCTGCCCGTCAAGAGTGAATGTGGTGTCCAGCGTGGGCAGGGATGGAGCAGCCAACACAGGAAACTGAGGTCGACGGCCAAAACAGACATAGCATGCACACGTGTGGGCACGAAGACCTACACACTCTAGTACGTTCGACTTCTGAATTTCATTCGAGCATATATCAGTCCCGACTTATTAGTGTGTTGGAATGAACTTTAACAAAGAGTCAGTTTGTGCTTCAGGGCAGCGTGGTGAGGCAGTGTGGTGCGTGGGTGGGCTCTGGTCGCAGACTGCAGCTGAGTCTAGAGCGATTGGGTCTTCCCAAGATCTTGTGTCATCTGGGAAAATGAGGATGATTTCAATATGCCCCCAAGCCTCACAGGATTAAGCCCTTCGACAGAGCCTGCAAACGGTGATGAGGGTAACTATTTCACATGATTATAACCTGCATGATTTCCTGCACAATCTAGCAGCACAACTAGATCAACAGAGCAGAGAGCCCAGAAACAGACCTACATATACTTGGCCACTGACTCTCATAAAAAAGCACCAAAGTCAACCAATGGTGCTGGATGTGCACATGGAAATGCGCCAGCCTTGATCCCTACCTCACACCGTACACAAACTTAGATTGAGGTGGGCTGTAGACCCAATCACAAAAGCTAAATTCTGAAGCTTCTGGAAAAAGGCAGCACAGGAGAATATCTTCACAACCTGGAGTATCCAAAGTCGTCTTGGGACACAGAAAGCAAAATAAAAATAAAATAAAAGGCTGACAAATGGGCTTTGTTAACACTAAAAATTTACATTTTTTTTGACTCAGTAATACCATTTCTAATCATCAATCCTGGGGAAATAATATAAAACAACAAACATAAGTGATGATGTTAAGAGAAATGTGATTTTCTAAAAAGAATGACAGGAAATAACTTCTACAAGTAGGCAAATTGGCTTTTTAAAAAAAAACTTGGCAAAAAAAACCCATTAAAATGATTCTAAAGTAGTGAAGAGTACACCATGTACCTATATGTAAGCCTAGTGTTACTATTACATAACCTTGAGGACATATACCAGTTATTTACATCTGTTAACACAAAGTTTCCTCTATGCAAAAAGTGAAGCTAATAATAATACCTGAAAGTTGTTGTAAAGAGGAAATAGAAGACACTTTAAGCATATAGTAAGCCCTGTAAGTTTTGGTTATGATAAGAATATGATATCCATTATTATTATTATAGTCATGTAAAACCCATAAATTTTTAAAATAAAAATGCCATAGAACAAAAATAAATAAATAAATAAATGATAAAAAAAAATAAAAATAAAAATGTCTGCTCATCAGAAGACACCAAGAAGAACATGAACAGGCAAGCCACATGCTTGGAGAAAATATTCATAAAACTTGAACCTATCAGAGAATTTGTATCTAGAATGTGCAAAGAAATTCCGTAACTCCGTAAAAAAAAAAAAGACAAAACTTTTAAATGGGTGAAAGACTTGAGCAGAAGTCGCACAGAGAAGTAGCCCATCAATACTGGCAAAGATGCTTCATGTCATCTGCCATTGAAATGCACACAAAACCACAATTGTCTGTCACCAGCAAGGTTACACGTGAGAACCAAAGACAGCGAGTGGAGAAGGAGCCGAGGCCTGGGCTGGGGGTTCCGATCCCACGCCTGACCCTTCCTTGCCATGTAACCTTGAGCAAGCAGCTCCTGTGCTGGCCTCTGCTCTCTTGGGGTACAGTGGGGTGTGATCAGGGTGCTGTGATCCACTGTCATGGTGACAAGGTAGGAGTTCCCGCTCCTCATGGATGTCACTCCTGTTGCTTTCAATATGGTAAGCAGGTGCTGAGACTGTGACCTCCAAACTCGCCTGCAGACTCTCCTCTGCCTGACCTCCCTGCCCGCTCACGGCCAGGGGAGTGAGCACACATGCAAATGTGTTTTCTTTCCCCAGGGGCCTCTGTGTTGGTATTTATGCCACCAATTCTGCCGATGCTTGTCAATATGTCATCTCGCACGCCAAGGTGAACGTCCTGCTGGTTGAAAACGATCAACAGTTACAGAAAATACTTTCGGTAAAGCCTTACCTAGCACTGCCCGCCGCAGCCACCCGGAGACCCCAGGGCTCTGGCCAGGCCTCATCGGACTCCCTGGTAGATGCTAATGATTGAGATGGGGGTTCCCCCTGAAATGGGCTCGGGAAGAGTCCTCCATGACCACACCAAGGTCCAGGGGAAGCTGCTTTGGTGGAGGCGGCAGATTGTGGGGGGTTTAATTTCCAATTAATGGTAACTGAGTTGACGGCTCAACCTCCACGTAAAAAATGCATTTATGCATGATTTTATAGATGCCATTTTATTTTACAGACACGATCTATCTTTCCTTTAGGAGTGTGATGATTTCAAGGCCACGCTCCCTGACATTTTCTGCATTTCTTGTCACTGTTTTCATTTCTGAAATGACTTTGCTTTTCTATTTCTTTCCTGAGTTCTGCACCTTCCTGTTTCATTTTTTCCCCCTGGGTGACAGGCCCTTCCTCCCCTGAGCACCTGAATGTCTACTTTGTGCTCTTTGCTTCATTACCTTTTAAATGGTATGCTGGAGAGCTGGATTGCAATTTTATTTCACTTTGCGGTGAAATTTTCAGGTGAGTTTTCTCTGTGTGCAAGGAAATTTAGCCTCTCTTCTTCTTTTCTTTTGGTAGTATCTTTGTATAAATGTTGTAAAAATCTGTTTGAACGAGCTGCAGTTTCCTGCATCAGCTTTTGGCAGGAGGATCCTGAAGGTAGGAGAGTCCTGGGAAGAGACTTGTAGGCCACCAAATTCCTCATTCAGCTCCAAAGCCTCTGAGTCACACAGTTCTTGACTTGTCATATCTCTAGAGAACAGACGTGTCTTGCCATTGATGGCATCTTCTGATCACGTCGATCATGTGTGTTCCCATGTCTGAAATTCAGGCACACTGTCCAGACTCAACGAACTCCCAGCTAGAGCCGCTGAGCTTCCACACCAGGCTTCAGGAATGACAGACAGCTCCAGCCTTAAGCTTCTGGGAGTTGCTTTCTTAAGTGCAGCTGCTGTGGTCTCCAATACCCATGTCACCGCTGTTTGTTCACACTATGGCAGGGGCCGGGGGTGATGGTGGGTGGGTGGGGTCCTTCCTCCTGCCATGCATATTGGCTTAATATGAGTTTTCTGTCACTGAAATATGCCACATGCCCTGATGGTTCCCTCTACAGCTCCCTGGATGCCATACCTTACAGCCCTGATTCTGGCATGTCTGGCCTCCCATGCATAGCAAGTTATTTCTGTTCCTAGTTTTGGGGAAGGCGCAGTTGGGGAGAGACGGATTTGTTGTTCTAGTTGCTCTGTATAAAAGATTCAAACTGGATATGAAGCTCCGCTGGAGAGCGTTGATTTGGGGAATGATCATGACCCTTGACCCCCAGAGGTTTCCTGTCTCCTGTGAGAACAGCTTAAACTCCTGGCCTTGGCCTCCCAGGCTTCACCCCGCTGGCCCTCACCACCCTTTCTTGCCTCCTTCCCTGTCACTGTCCTGGTGTCCCCTCTGGCCATGCTCTCTGGGGTCCTCAAACTCCCTAGGCTGGGCCTCTCCAGGCTGCTGAGCATCTGGTTCTTCCCCCTGGAAAACTCTTGCCCGGCTGCCCCACCAGCTTCTTTTCTGAGCACGGGGCATGCCGGAGGTGGCTCCTTCTCTGGGCTGGCCAGATAACGCCATAAAAGTGCCCTCCTCTGCACGAACAGGCCGTAGGAATCGCACCAGTCGCCAGAACCGGACAGTCCTAGGCCCGGTAGCTGGCTCCCAGCGTGTTCGGTGCCAGCCACCTTCATGAAGAATTTTGTGGCCTAGGTTAGCCGAATCCTGCTGCCGAGTGCAGGTCGCTGGAAAGGGGAGAACCAGGCCAGCGTCCGCCACGCAGAGCAGCAGAGCGGCCTGAGAAGCGCCCGGCCGCAGGCGGTGGTCTTCATCCACTCTTGCCCGTTGCAGGCTACTACTGATGCGACCCCAAAGAATCCGGTAGCCCAAACCAGCCATGACAGAGCAGGGCTTTGCAGCGCGGGCGGGGAAAGACAGAAGGCTGGAGCTGAGACTCTGCCAGCGTCAGCTTCCCAGGGCTGGGTTGCCCCAAGCCCCACAGGGAACTTTGTTTCAGATTCCGCGAAGCAAGCTGGCGACCCTAAAAGCGATCATCCAGTACAAGCCTCCACTGAAGGAGAGAAGCAACAACCTGTACTCTGTAAGTGGGGGAGGCGGGCGCTGGGGAGGGGACTGGGCCTTGCCAAGGAGGTGGGTTAGCCGGTCCATGGGGGGGGGTA